AGTGAGATGTTTAATAAGAAACTACATTTAGATGTTTCTGCCATAAACATGCTGTACTGTTCCTAAACACATCAACATATCCAAACCATGCAGTCAACCACTCCAGTTGTTATATCTCAAAGCTATAATGTATAAAGCTCACTCTCCATCAGTATATCTCACACCTCTTTCCCACATATATCTAGTTAGTAAAGTAGAGAGTTATTGGCACATGCAGCCACACCTGTCAGTGCTGAAGGAGATGGCTGAGGGAGGGGAATTTTTTCCTGAGTTACAGGGGAGTCTTTGTTTCTAACTCTAGGTCCTTCTTCAGTTATCAGCAATGATGATGATTCAGCAAGTCCCCTGCATCACATTTCAAATGGGAGTAACACTCCATCATCTTCTGAAGGCGGCCCAGATGCTGTTATCATTGGAATGACAAAGATTCCTGTCATTGAAAATCCTCAGTACTTTGGGATCACCAACAGTCAACTGAAGCCAGACACCTGTAAGTACAGATATTTACATATATGTTGTTCATTTATTTTTTTCTCAATGTTGCTGAGTCTTTTTACTAGAGCTAATAGAAATATTGTGCAAATTATCAGGAGCAGAAGAGTAGAATAAAAATGCATGGAAGATATTAAAGACATTTTACTTAAAATGAACTGCTTTACATCTGTCAAAGCTAGTGGTCCAAATTCAGCCCTTGTGACTGGTCACCTAAGTCAGCACAATTAACTACCTAGAGCCGGATCCAAAGTCTGTTGAAGTCTTTCCACTGATTTCAGCAATCTTTGGACCTGTCTGGGGCCCAGATTTTAAATTTATCTCAAAAGTTTTATCAGGACAAACTATATTTGGCTTTGGACCAAAATCAGAAGTCAGTATTTGCACAGCACCTTTACATATGTTCTAATACCAAATTCATTTTCTTGTGATAATGGATATACTCTGAAATCTGCTTAGCAAAGGTGATGACTTTTATTCCTTTATTTAGATAGCTCAGTCCTTTCAACTGGAAAACGTGTTTAATGTTTAAGCTAAGCATCAAGTTTTATTTTTACTGCCTAAAAACAGTAAATCTCTCAAATACATGTTTTTAGACCATCAGGCACAGAAATGTGAAGTCACTGTTTAAAAAAGTGCTCCACCCCTCAGTTAATGACCTCCGTATCAAAAAAAAAGTAATTTTGCTAATGGGCATTTGTAGTGTGGCTCTTGAAATGCTAAATTTCGGAGTACAGCAAATAATTAACAAGTATATTAAGAAAATTATAGTTGATATCAGTAGCCACAGTTAATATGCTACAGGAGAACAAATAAAGACTGGTATTTATGGATGAATCCTGGCACTAGCCAATTGTGCAGGAGTGGCAGCTGTAGTCAATGTTACTTAATGGTTTCCGTTTTCAGTCACTCATAAGCTTCTCATGCTTTTATCTTTTGGACTGACATTTTTGAAGCTTGATTCCTAGTGATTATTTAATGCTTCTGCAAAAACAGGTTTAGAGCATAAGTAGAAGGAGAAAAAGTATATGTCCATATTATAAAAAAAATCATACAACCATTTTTTGAACAGCATGAAAGAGCCAGAGGTTGAAAACAGAAGAGAAATATCTTTAAATGTTCCAGTGAAAATTGATTCTGATTTGAGCAAGTTATAGGCCTTTGCAAATTGTATTCTGCCAAATACATAGTGGATTTGGTGCAAACTTTTCCATAAACTGATAGAGGGGCTGATCTATTTCCCAGGGAAGTTAATAGAGGGATTCTTACTGATTGAACTGGTCTTTGGGTCAGACAAAGTGGATGTAGCTAAGGGAGCATACTGTAGTTTTGTGGCAAAAACTGTAGGCTAGATGCTGAGACTGTGTCAACAAACTTGGTTTCAAGTAGTATATAGAATATACAGGATGTAACAGGAACCCTCCCTCTATAGTGTGTGTGTGTGTGTTGGAGGGGAGGGGGTGAACGTATATAAGGGTTGAAGTCAAGACATCTACTTCTCCTATGAACTGTAATTTCAGTCCACAGGTGAGGCATCCAAAGTGGAGCATTAGGAAGCTCTTGCAATGCTAAATGTAGCATTCTCTGCTTTTTATTTATAGTGTTATGTAGCATTATTTTATAGTTTGACATCTTTTATACAGTAATCCTCTGCTAAAGGATCTCAAAATAATTTGACAAATCATGTGCCTGTGCTGCATTAAATAAGTTTTTGTACTTGACAAGGTTAAGGAGAACATTGCATAGATACATTGTGAGGACAGCATCAATTCCTGAGATTTGAAACCACTAAGGAATCGCACTCGGGGCAAAATGCCCACATGCCATTGACAATGTTCTATAAAAGCCCATGTTTATGAAAAAGAGGCTTTTGTACTTCTGTTCCCAGCTGCATTGAACCACATTATAATTGTTCTTAAAACAAATTTCCATGAGTTCAGTTTCTGATTTTCGACAGTAATGTAAAAAAGTATGCATCTGTTGCTTTTGAAAAAGAATTGTTCCCAAACAAAGAAGGCTTTTGCATTTAATAAGAAGTTGGACCTTAGAGAAGCATTGCTTTAGAGTTGAGAAACAAACTACGTTCTGATCCTGAGGCGACTTCAAGTTTGTTTGATTTTGAACACTGTGGATATTCCAATTACATTCAGTGAAATAAATCAGTGCGTAAAGTTAAGTATGTGCATAAATGTTTGGAGAGAGAGCCCGGATGTCATATGACTATGCATGAGAAGAGCACTACATTTCCCAAGGAGGGAAAAGCTGGGCACAACAGGTCATTTATATGTTGTGTTGCTCATCCCCATCTTTGAGATATTTGAGTTTTTATTGTTTTAAACAAACAGGCTGAGGTAAACTACTACAACATAACCTAATAAAACCAAATCAGATTTCTTCTACCACACTAAGCATGTCCAATAGATAGGGCAATTTGAATTGTCTAAGACAGAATTATTTCACATATACTCTCTCTATCTCACTCACTCACTTTTTATTAGAGAGCTGCACGTGTCCTTCTTTAACCTGCAGGTCTCCTCCTGATTTCTCTTTCTGCCATCATTTCAAGCTATAGGTTCAGTAGCTCTCATAGTGGTTTCTCATTTACAGTAATATCGGCTCCAAATATCATCTGGTTTCTCATTTTCAGTTAAATAATTAACATTTATATTTATTTCCTATCCAGCTTAAATATTGCTTTCATCTAAGCAATAGATACACCATTGATGACTGTCAGGCTGAAAAATAACTGTGGTTTAATATGTGTTGTTCTGTGGTTTTTGGGCTAAGTGAAATTCCATGCATACAGTAAAGCTGTATTATTATGGAATTTAAAGGAGTGTGTTTGCAGTGAGATGCACTTATCCATTTTGCTGGGGTCATCTGATCCCAGCAGTCTTTCCTGCCCAAGTGCAGGGGTGCTGGACACGATGATCTGTAAGGTCCCCTCCAGCCCCTAACAACTATGAAACTATGAATTTAAGCCATATTTTATCCCCTTATCAACAACCTGTTCTTATATATAGCGCATTAAACTCCAGCACAAGTTTTAAGAAGTACATGTATTTAAAAACTAACTATTACAGTAAATCCCATTTGAGATCCCACCACATCACCAGTACGTTAGTACTTCTGCCACTGCAAAAATTGTTTCTGAGAGATACCAGCTTCTGAAAAGCACAGTTCTGAAAATGAAGGGAAAAAACGTAATTCCCCTCCACCTCTAGTACATCCTTTTAAGGTGGAAGAACCAAAGTGATTGCAGTAAACCTCATGTAGGTCCAACAGATGGTTCTAATCAGCACTCAAAAGTACAAGGGATGAAATTCTAGCCCTAATGTCACCTGGAATGTGTCTAGAATGTAACCAAATGATCTGATGTATGTATTGAAGTACTGCACTGGAAATGTTCTCCCTCCTCCATTCATGCATGTGTAATATTTTCCATCTTGACCACGCAGGACCTAGCCATCCATTCTCCTCTACCTGTCCAGCCAGCCCACAGGATTCTATTACAACTCCTGCCCTTTGTGCACCTTTGTGGCTCTTCATTTACCTGCTCTGGACACTCAACTGCTGCTGGCCTCAGCTCTTTCTGGCCTTTGTCAGGTTCCTCTACCCTTATGGAAGACCTGAGTATTTCCACTTTGAATTTTTGCATGTTGCCAGTATACAGAGTAACTTAGGGTCCACAGTATACTGATTCACCTGTTTTTAGTTACAGTCATGAGGGAATGCTCTTGCTTGAAGCTGCCTGGCTAGTTGTGACTAGCCAACTTCCAAATTAGGGGAGAGGGTTTGCAGTCTGGGGATGGCATAATGATCTTTGCAGTGAAATCATTCCTAAATGAAGTTGCAGTGTGCTAGATAGAACCTGTGGCTTGATCACCTGTGAATGACTTTCCATGGTTGCTGTTTGAAATCAGGCCATGACACTGTAGTGAAATAATCTGCAGATGCAAGAATCTCATGTGGATGGCAAATCCAGAGATTATTTTCCCTTGGAACAAATCTAATAGTCATTTCACCTGAGAACTCAGTGGCTGCTAAATATCTTAAATCATCACTTAGCTTGCTGAAAACTGCTTGAAGTATATCAGACCATTACTTTTGCATTTAAATGATTAGGAGAAGAAATCCACACAGTATTCACACATTGCCTTGTTGAGAGTAATGTGAAAAACAAAACTTCAGGACAGGAGATGCATAAAACATCAATGGAATTGTACAGGTTGTAAATCAGGGAAGAATCTGTACGGTGCGACTGTCAGGTAAACTTTATGATTTAGGTTACAAACAGATGTTGCCCTTGTCCTGCCATATACCATTTTATGTAGGACAAAATGCAAGTGTACTGGTATCCTTGCCCCTTGTTGCATCACAAGTGCCCAAAAAGGGCCACACGACATTCCTACTAACCTTATCTGCTGCTTTATTGCAGTAGACATCTGTACACTTATGGATGCTCTTGGGTGCATATTTCATGCTGCATGGCCCCAACCCAGGGCACACATCTGCAGGGTTGGGAAACCCCCTGTGGAGTCCCCATTCTGCACTTGCAGATGCACACCCCAAGAATCGCCCTGCACGGGATTCCCAAGGCACATGTTTCATGCGACCTAGCTCTAACCTGAGGTGCACTCTGCAAGCGTGGAGCAGGGACCCTATGTCGGGGGGTTCCTCAAGTTTACAGATATGCATCCTGAGTCAGGGTGAGGCACCTGGAACTGCTGTCCCACAGGATCGGGCTCAGGACAACAGTCCCAGGCAACATCTGTCCATGCCAATCAAGCAGATCAGCTGCGCCAAAATTGGCCTGAGTCACACACAGGCAGATTCTACTGAATGAAACTAAGTGCAAAAATTGAACTTTACTCTTTTTGGTTCGCATATTCCAGTCCGTAGGCCAGTTTTTGGTCTCAGGTTCCTTAGGGTAAATCTGAAACAATCCATTTGGCTCATTGCTATAAGGATTTTTAATTAGTTGGTTTTAGCAAAATT